GCTGTGTGACTTTAGTCAAGTGACATCCCCCCTCTGAACTCCTGTTTCTTCACCTGCAACATGGGGTTAAAGTATCTAACTGTGTAACTGTTGGGAGGGTTCAAGATAATTTCTTTATTGTTGTTGTTAATCCTCACCCAAGGATATTTTTTCCATTGATTTTTAGAGAGTGGAAGGGAGAGGAAGAGACAGAGAGAGAGAAACATCGATGTGAGAGAGACATCTCGATTGGTTGCCTCCTGCACATGCCCTGACTAGGGCCAAGGATCAGGCCTGCAACCAAGGAAAGTGCCCTTGACTGGTAATCAAACCTGGGACCCTTCAGTCCACAGGCCGATGCTCTATCCACTGAGCCAAACCAGCTAGGGCTAGATAATTTCTATAAATCATCTACCGTAGTGCCCGGCATATAATAGGCATGAAATAAATCATCATCACTATCATTGTCATCATCAGTCATTAGGCCAGGTTGTGCAAACTCCTTCCCCAGATATGCTCAGCCTCTTTTCCCTCCATTCATCCCCTGCCCCATGCCATCTTCCTTCAGTGACCTTAGGGCCTCAGAAACATAGAAAGTATGGGAAATGTTGAGGACTCTTGGTGTAGAGCAAGCATGTCAAACTCGCAGTCCACAATGAATATTTTTGCAGCCCAGCCAATATAATGGTATGTAAGAAATGGATTTTTTTTTGTTTTTTTTGTGGGTTTTTTTTTTTTTTGGCGTCCCTGGGTGGGCTCGAACCACAAGAAATGTTTTAATAAAAATTTCGTAACTTAATTTTTACAATATCCTGTTACACATAATTATTAATAACGAACTACAACGTTCGCTAATGACTGATGACTATAATCGTGTTGCATTCATTTCCCTTACGCGCCTTACACGCAGGCGCACCATTTCTCTCCACTAATACCAGCAGTAATATTCTAGCAGCCGATGGCCACGTCATTAGTCTTGGGCTGACTTGTTTGCTGTGCGCAACAGGAAATATTTTGCTTTCGAACAAGAAAAATAGGTTTATTTGCGTTACGCTTATTAATCTGTGCAGTTTATTCAGTGTCTGGTAAGTTAATGTTCAAGAAAAAATATCAATTTTCATTAAAATGTTCTGTTTTTTTTATGTGAACACGACTCATTTATTCCAGCCCTTTGTGTTCAGCATGTCTCTATCGAAGTAAATCTATGTTTCTATGAAAATTGAAGCTTTTGTTTTTTTGCGGCCCCACAGACACACCTTGTTTATTTGGCTGATGTTAGCCTTTGAGTTTGACACGCTTGGTGTAGAGGTTTAGCCCCCAGATTCATCACCTCCTGCTCCTGGGGGCTCTCGCCTGGGAGGGCCTGCAAGACAAAGCTGCCTCCTCATCTACCCAGGACTCTCTTGCTTTCTCTCTGTTTCCTATGGACCCGAGATGTGACTTCTTCCCTGATTTCTCCCCACAGGAGAAGCCGAGCTATATAAGTGTCCACCTCAGACCTGGAGGACAAGACCAGATGAGCAAGGAGGTGAGAGGGGCAGGGGGGTGATGGAGAAGGGCCGAGTGTCCTCCCAGGGGCGGGCTCGGCTATGGGGGCTGGTACTCACAGGGGACCCATGAAGAGAGGGAGCAGCCATAGTCACACTGCGGCTGGGAGACACAGGCTCCTGGAGAAGGTCTGGAGGCCCCACGTGGGACCTGGGATGGGACATCACGGACAGCATGGCCATTGGCTGCTGCCTCTGTCCATCAGAGCCGGCCAATGGGCTGCAGGCTGGGGCGGGGCCTGAAGGGAGCTCTGTGTTCTAATTCCAATGCCTCTTCCCGGCCAGCAAATATGCTTCTAAGGTCCCCACTCTTTTGAACCTGAAGCCACGGACCGTCAGAGACGCTGCAAAGATGCCCCAACTCGCCTTGCCGGTGGGGACCATCAATGGCACCAGCATCAGCATCAGCATCACTATAATCACCACTGTCCCCATTCATGAGCATAGCCTATGAATGCTTAGATGGGGCACAGCGCATGTTGAGTTAATCTGTGACCTGTTAGGAACCGCGCTGGGGAAAGGTGCCTACTAAGCGCGGACAACGCTCACACCCTGACAAGTTAGAAATGCGTAATGCAAAGCAGCATCTGACGGGACCGTCATCATTTAAAAGTATAGATTAATTTATTAAGACAGATATAGTATATACAGTATGTATGTGTGTGTTTCCCAGTTTTACATGTATACACACATATATACACATCTGCACGAAAATTGCGGAAAACGTTAGCCAGGAACAGTGCTATCGCTTCGTGTCCTTCTTTACATGCCACTGTATATTCTAAAGTGTTTTGTTGTCGTTTTTTTCTCACAAAGTGTGTACATTGCTTTTATAATCAGAAAATAACCAATAAAGTTAAAACAGCATGAAGTGAGTTCAGATCCCGTGATGCCATTTCTGGAACTTGCTTTCTGAGCTGTCTTTGTGGATGTGCCCACAAGTATCTAAACAAATTTGTTTATCCCTATGGCACTTACAACAGAAGGAAGGAAGGAAGGAAGGAAGGAAGGAAGGAAGGAAGGAAGGAA